ATATATATATATATTTTAATGTCTGATTTATTACTAACAGAGAGATAGTACCAGAATTCATGATTAAAAAACAGACATAAACGGCACCTTTTCCTGAGATCGAGCCCTATTTTTGCACACACCTGGGAATATTCAAGAAGACGATGCACTGAAACTTCAGCTCCTGGATCTTGGGTGTGAGATCCGTACCGTCACACTGCCAATAAAGAAGGAAAGTAATTACAAAGAAGAACATCAGGTGAACAATGGTAAAGTTAGCATGAGCGGACAGGTCCTGTCAAAGCACTGCTTTCATGAGAGTGTCATACTCACCACCACCCTGACGTGCTTGGACAGGTCCCTGGAGCTCCGCTGGAGGAAGTCAGAGAAGGCCGCCTGAGGGGACAAAACACACACTGAAACACACACTTACTCAGTCTGTCACACAGACGGGAGCTCGGCCTACCCCTGCATAGAACATCTTGTTACGGAAGCGACTGTTGAATTTCTCAGGATTGGCTTCTGTGAAGGAACACAAACGACAAATGATTATGACTCCGAGCAAGAGAAACAACGGATACATAAAGACATTTTATTTAAAGACCAAATTTATTAAATGTCAAATCATAGAAAACTATGAACTGAAAGCATTCAATGTGCCACATATCAATATACACTATATTTCATGGATCATGATGTCATATAATGATTAACATATCCCCGCCCACATTTACTTTACAAATCAATATCTATTCAGTATTCAGCAAATTGTCTCTAATGAACGATAATGTGAACTGAACTCATAACTAATTAGCCAATCATGACAATCATAAAATATATTTTACATTAAAAAAAAATGGCATCCCCTTGGAAAATGAACAGCCAAAAAAAAAAAAAAAGATATTTAAACATATGGGCTATAACTGTAATGCATTTAAAAGTAAACTACATTTAAATAATAATTTTCACTATCCTCATTAAACATTTAATCTATGCATCGCAGTTTAAGTAATATAATTAAATGTAAAATAAATTATTAAAATACAATTAAAATAATTACAAATAACATTCCAATTTAAATAAAACCTTAATATTAATTAATAAATGGCAAATCCAGGTTACATTACTGAATACAGCAAATGTTAGATAATTAAATGAAGGAAAACATAATTATTTTACTTTTTAATTCCAAATCAGCTTGCTTGATTCTAATGGTGGGAAATGGATAATAAAAACTACAATATCAAGATTTATATAGGACTTTAAGGTATTTTTAAATAATATTAAGATTTAAAAAAAACAAAACAGAGACATTAAGACTAAAATATTGAGACATGTTTTTTAAAACATCAAGACAATTAAAAAATATCAATATGTGTCTTATAAAAATGTAAAGACAAGTTTTTTTTTAAAGATTTTTAAGAAGATTTTGGTTTAAAATATTAAGACAAGTTTAAATAATATTAAGATGAATTAAAAAATGTTTTACTAAAATATTAAGGCATTAAGACTAAAATATTAAGATATGTTTTTAAATATTTAGATGTGTCATAAAAATATTACTTTTTTTTTTTAAATATTAAGACATTTTTATATAATATTAAGATGTATTTTAAAAAATATTTACTAAAATATGAAAGCATTAAGACTAAAATATTAAGACATTTTTTTAACATTTGTGTCATAAAAAATATGAAGTTGTTATATCTCCTAAAATATAAAGACATTCTTTTAAATATTAAGATGTATTTTTAAATAATACTAAGATGCTTTAAAAAAAATATTTACTAAAATCTGAAGGTATTAAGACTAAAATATTAACACTTTTATTTAGATGTGGACGTATCTATTTTTATATTTAGATCTAAAATACATACACATTTTTTTAATATATATTTTAAGAATATCAAAACTATTAAAAGACTAAAGAATGTGTTCAGGGCATTTAAACCTTCACTGACAGCTATTAAAATGCCTCGTGTATGTAGTGTAAACTAGGGTCTCCAGTAGGACAGAGCGTCACAGACCTCTGGACTCGTGGAACTCCAGGGTGACGTGGGCATCAAAGCCGAGGCTGAAGTAGTTATTGAACACGTTTAGAGGAAGCTGAGAAGACACACACAAACATATGAGCAGCGTATAAACACAACCCAATGTCTGTGTCAGCATGAACACAGCCATCACCTTCTGCGTTCCCTCCTCCGGCTGAACGGCCGATCGCTCCACCTGCAGATTCCAGCGGTCCAGCTGCACCACCGTCCCGTCCTCCACCTGACACAAGACCTTCGACACCGGATCGTCTGTGTAACCCTGAAACATCACAGCTACTGTCTGTGAGAGCGGCTTACTCCTGCCATAAACACTGTCCTTGACATCAATCGCAATCATTAGAGCATCAATTCAAATGATCATTACACCCGCTTCATTGCTAATAATAGACTTTAGATTGAGGCATGGGAAAAAACCTGGGAGCCTCCAGATTCCAAGGCCAGTGTTTCTCCAGACACACAGTCAGAGTATAATAGAAAATAATGAGCGGCATTTATCAGTGACAATCACAGCCTCTCAGCCAATCACAGCAGCCACATCATAATTCTGCAGCAAAATTTACATATTCAGATTCAGTTTTAATATGAATTTGACGTTTATTGCTTTTTCAAATATAACTTATTTTAAATATATAAATTTATTCTAATGTATTAATTTATAATTAATTATAATTAAATTAATTCTAAGGGTGTAAAATTGTTAATAAAACATTAAATATTAACAAATATTTTTTAAAATATTTAAATCCATTTTTAAAAGATATTAAGACTTTTTTTAATATTGAGATTTTTTAAAAGAATATTAAGACTTTATATAAATATATATATATATACATAAAGAGTTTAATCGTTTTTTAATTAAACATATCCTTTTTTAAAATCTTAAGTCATACTTAAAAAAAAAAAAATAGACTTTTTTGTAGATATTAACACATTTTTAAAAAGTATTTAGAAAAATATTTAGACATAAAAAAAAACATACCTAGATTAATATTTAGGCATATATTTTATAAAATTTTAGACACTTGGAAAATAAATATATATATATTAAATTATTTAGACATATTTTTTTAAATATTAAGACTTAAAAAAAAATTTAGACAATTTTTTAATATAATGAGACATTTTTAAACATATTTAGACATATCTTTGAAAATATTTAAGACAGTTTTTAAAAAGCATAAATACATTTTAATAGATATTAAGACATTTAAAACAAATTAAGTTTTTTATTTTGAATTAGATAACATTTCAGACGTACTTTTAAAAAATATATATAAAGACATTTCTTGTAGATATTAAGAGTTTTTTTCGTATTTAGACATTTAAAAAAACAAAGATTTATTTTTATTATATATA